TAGGAACGATTTTAATGCTTCTGTCATAGGCCATGAAGGAAATTCGAATCATTGACTTCGTGACTGGTGCATTACTGAAAAGAATCGCTAAATCACCAGAACAAATTAACGTTCATAACAGACTCGTAAAAGAAATATTCAGCAGAGGAAATGAGTAGCTCGTGGTTGACCACATCGAGGTTTTCAATAGCAATGGCTGCAACTCTGTGCTGAAAGGGAGTGAGTATGTCGACCACAAACCAAGGTGCCTCTGTTATGCGATTTGCTTCGACCGCTGAAGGATTGTTCAAGGCATTAGTACGACCCTAAACAAGACAAGATCCTGAAAATAACACGCTTACATTCGAACCTTTGCGTACCTCGGAAGCCGAGAAAACAGCTCCCACGGTGAACAGAACAACAAAGCAAGGACAGTTCGGATGCATTGATATTGGTAGAACGAGTTTCGGCGACGAAAGGCTTGTATTTGTAGTAAGCATTGTCACCCTCCATTTTTTGCTTGCCTGTCTGCTCAGAAGCACTGGCACTGGATTTACATGTATAAAAACGAGGCAAACAGCAGGTGCTTTGCATTCCAATCCCTGATTGCGAACAAACCTTCTGCAGCACGTGACGAATAACAGCACCATGTAGTGGTTGTTGAAATCATCATCATCACGGCAAGCCGTCAGTATTAGCAAAAAATCTGCCTTATCTTGCACATACCGTTTTCGCAGTTTACAGCATTTGTTCCATAAAGCACCGTTACTGCACTGATTAGAAACATATTTTTTTAGAAAGCAGATCATTTAATACTCTGCTCCTCCGTACTGCATGCTGCTCTTCTACTCGGAGTGCGGCGCGATTGGTCTCTTACGATAAAAGCCAACGTCATAGAGTGAATTTTTTATGCTCAACCAGTTTTATTAAGCTCAAAATTATACTTCTAGTCTACACATCCACTGAGATAACTTAGTGTCACAAGAAAGTAAAGTCATTTCCTACGTATCATCTGGATTGAACAATGATTATGCATCGAATCCACCGATGCTGTGTGCAATTCAACGATCGTATTCGAACCGGCTTGCTTTACAGCGAAACTTATATGACCGAGGCAATGGACAGCAGTTACGCTTTATTCAGCCAAAATGCTGGACAGGTTTTCACAAGCATTCGAGGATAAGCAGATCTTCGTATTTAATTCGTGTTGCATTATATCATCACTAGAGATGACTGAACCGGGGTCATGTGTTCTGCCACACGAGCTTCTGCAGTTTGCGAGGCATTTGAAAAACGCTATGTTAAATCTTGCGATTGTAAATTTCTCAGAACCGACTCGACTGTACATGAGATCTAAGCTTGAATCCGAAGAGAGGCAGGTTAGAGGATCTGATTTCTCCGAAACAGTTCCATGCAGTTATTTCATCAGAGGCTTGTGTTTCCGTATTTTGGGTTGTATTTATGACCCCACCTCCATTTTTAAAGCGGAGGAAAAAACTGTTAAGTCGTTTGAGTCGAAAATCCCCGATGCAGGATATATCGTTCAGTGGCAAATGTAGATGATGGGGATAACTCATCCTGGCTTGTTCGCATAGAAACGCTAAACGTGACAGGTGGTTGCTTTCAATAATCCTATGAAATCATGTGCTGTCCGCTTAATAGGCTTGGTCCTTAACTCAAAGAAGATTTATTATTCTTTCCGATCTCCGATGGGTATCATTAGCATAAGCATTGACGTTATATAAACGCATTCAAGTGCACAATCTGTACTTTACGTCCATACGTTACACATTCAAAGCTTTGAAAAAATGACTTAAATATGAATCTCGAGAAATTTTTCCCTTCCCTTTGTTCCAGAAAGTCAAGATAACTGTCTCCATTCTCATTGAGCCACGCTTGTGACACTCTTCTGGTATTAATCCAACGGAACAATGGTGAGATGATCCCAAAATCGCTGAAAGTTGGATGCCAAAACACGTTGCGTCATTCAATGTTGAATAGTCCAGCTTAGCTATGAAACGTAATGAGCAATTTAATATGTATATGCGCTGGACGTTCCTTAATGTCGATTCACATACCTCATCAGTATGAACACATTCGCATTCAAACTGGGAACAGTACAATAGGCAGATATTTCACAAATATGTCTTCCATAACTTCGAGACAGCTACGAGAGATGTAGACATTGTATCGTGGAACGTTGCGATATACTGGACAATTACGGTACCGAGTTATCGTATAGTATAAAGACACTTTAGGTTCAACAGATATTATGACATTGCTCTAAAGTCAAGATGTTACTCGCAAATGCGCGAAACTGATCATCGTATGTCTGAGGCTGTTAAACTTGCAGATTCGTCCTCTGAATGGTGAAATTCAATTTTTCGGATTATGATATTCAGGTCATATCAGCACCTAAGGCTGCTCACTAATCTTTGTCAAGGAACAAAATTATCCCATTTTTGAACAAACAGTTTGGAGCGTATTCTTCAAAAGTAGAATTATTTCAGAAGCGAAATCACTAAATTGCAGGAAACATAGTTGGGACTACAGTTCATCGGGGCAAGGTTTGCTGTACAGCAGTGGCATCAGAACTCCAATGTGGATCGTTTGTATTCGGGATATTAAGCAAACAGTCAGCGTCTGTCCCTTTACACTTATCGTGAATCAAACCTGTTAGAGCTAACCAGGTTACAAAGACGAAAGTCCGGAATAAGTTGATTTTTGCGCAACTTCAACGCACAGCCGTAAACAGAGACTAACACTAACGTGTGTTTCGAATTGATTGTCTGGAGATGAGTGGTTTTGATTAATTAATTAATTAAAAAAATTATACTACGCAATTACTGTTATGTTATCACGTTAATTCGCAGTTGACTGAATGAATAATTAATTGATGAATTTACTAACGCCCCTACAGTTCGGTGGAAGAACGCAACAGACGTAGTTGAATTTTTGCCCTCTTCAGTTCGAATTGAAATTCGGAGCTCGTAGTTTTTCAATGAATGTTAAACCAAATTATCGCTTCTGTAACTAATTCAATTTGAGCAAGCAGTAACATTACAGGACTCTCAAAATTACTTAATCTCCATACCACGTCACGACCAATAACCCATAATTCGTCTCAGAATGGTCATATCAGCCGTTATTGACACCGATCGGTTTTTCCTCATGACTCACTACTCATGACCGTGGGTAACAACGGGATGATGATCGACTTGAACTTGCACAGCATCGTCTTTACTATTACTTGAAATTGAGGAACGAAAAAACTAAACTTGAGACATCTGCGATACAGTCCGACAGTAGGAAATTCTAAACTCTCTGCTCAGAGCTGTATCGGCTGATTCCTTAAGATGTTAACATAACATGAAACTCCAACTGGTGCAAATTATGTTCGACAGGAAGGTTTGAAGGCCGCGCGGATCATAACCTGTTTCCTGATACCACTCAAACTCGGCAAATAAAAAAAATCAAGAAGCTACACTACGTCACTAGATCAGTAGACTGCTAGGTCACTTATTCCCTAGGTTAAATGACAGTCAACAGCATTCAGAATATCTTTTGACTCTGCCCATAATATTAAGCAAGTTATTGCTACCTATAATTAGCTACTGCATGCTTATCCCCGAAGATGTTCCTGGTTTTCAACGACGAAAGTGAAAATCGTCGCACAAGCTCATTTAGGGAAAGCATGATTCCGGTTTATTGCAATTAGAATCAAAATCGATAGTCCGACAACTGAAGATTTGAAGCACTTCACAAAAAGGCAACTCTTAGGCAATAACATTTCAGTGTCGTCGAGTTACCTTAAACGGACAGAGCATTTGAAGTCATGACTGTGCAAAAACCGCTTAGGTAACTTAACTGTAGTTTTTTATTCCTAATATTACGAGAAAAGAAACTTTGTGCTCCAGTCACATTAGAAAATGTTATTTAAGCATATCAACAAAATGAATTTAAATTTTCAGACAACAACTACATGTTAATAACGGAAATAAATTAAGCAAAAATGCACAACATATAATTAATACCATACGATCAACAGCGAAACAAGAAGCGTCACTGAAAAAATAAACAACAAAACATTTGCAAGATCAAACATCCTGCCTATAACAAAATTTAGAATCCACCAACAACTGCGAGCAGCAAAAAGCAAAATATTAAAAATTAGCATGTCAGAACTACCATCATCAAAAATCGACGATTTGATCGAGATAGGAAATTTTAAAAAAAATCGTCCAGCACTGGATTTGAAAATAACTTTACTGCAAACTCTTCGCCCTTTTAGTTTCACTAAGGCACATCAAATTCATGAGACAACCAACGGCGCCAAAGTAACCCTGTAAATACAAAATAAGGACCTAAACAACGTGGTTAACGTAGGTTCACCTCGTGCTTCATAAACAGTGCCTTTATTCTGCCTTCAGTCCAATACTCGAAGGCGTGAGCTATTTGACGCATCGAAAAATCATTGATACGCAAAAAGTTTCCCACGAACACAATTTTGTCTACATTCTAATAAAAATCGTCATAGCGACAAAGCAAGTTATCAATAAAAATCATGTTATCAAAAAAACTGTTGTAGTTGTAGTTTTGTGTAAAGGTTGTTTAGGCAAGGAAATGAATGTGTGCAGAGCACGGTGATGTCAGCCTTCCTTTAGAAGCTTACAGTAAGATCACCATCTCCATCGTTGTGTTATGCCTCTTTAAAGGCTACGTCTGTAGCAAAGAGGCCCCTACAGCATACAGTCTACTGTCTACTTCCAAACATAACATGAATGCTAGAGCATGGCGTTGCCTTGTTTCTTGCCACAAAATAAGACTCATTTATCAATCTCAAAATGACAAAATGCGAATGATCAGACTAGAGCAGATGAATGGATCTGCGTACTTGTGATGTCGAATAATGTGTCCGATACACTGACCTACTCTGATCTATCGTTAGTTACAAATACGCCTCGTAATAACGCATATATTCGTACATTAGTGCTTATAAGAACAAATGATATCGGTAACGCTGTTTATACCTTACCTCATTTTTGGCACACATGTATGCGATGCTTGTTATGTTGGACGTTACTGTAACCAACGCAGAACGAGCGAGGTCCTCTTTTGTAGCCGTTGCTCTTTTGTCTGGATGAATCATGTTGCCGAAGCTAAAAACACTAAATTAGTTACCATCAACGAAGGCGCACAACGGCCCTACCTGGATGCTACTGTGTCACCTTTAAGATTAAAAAGACTGTAGTCTCCACCGTAAATGTCACGCACCAGTTTGTCCACTTTAAGATTGTCGCCCTTCTGTGACAACTTTATCGCCTCTTCAAAAGTTTCACAACCGGTCAGCAAACAACACAGACCAAAGAACATTCCGCCGCCTAAACTAAAACATTAAAATGTCCCGAAGCCTAGTCGAGCGAACTCAGGTATTCAACAGGCGTCAGACACAAGAAAATAAGCCTACCTGGTGCCAGTGACTCGACGGAACTTGTCGGGGCCATCGACCGCGAGAACCGACACACCAGAGCCAATATTTACGACAAGGAAACGCGGTCCTAAGCTGCGGAGAAACACCGCCCGTCGACATGTCGACTCATCGAGAGGATTTTCGTAGTAGTAGCATTCGGTCGGGTTGTGGTCGACGATGTACCGAATGCCGGTGATCAACGAATGCAACTCGTCGAATTTGTGAAATCTAAGATTAAGTCTCTAAAATGAAATTCAATCAATCAACATTGAGCTGCAAAGACACTTTACTTCTTCTGCGACATTTTCATAAAGATAGGCACCACCCCCGGTGGCACAAACTGTGCTCGAGCATGATGCAAAACCCTTCTTTTCAGCTAGGTTCAAGAATGCCGGCATGTCCGACGTTGGAAAGCGGATGAAATGAAGGGTACCTGTTCTTCCCTGAAACGATGAAGCTGCGGCTAAAGATCATCTTCCACGAGAGCGGCAGCGCTAATCATACGTTAATAGTTTGATTTTCAAGCTGTAGATGAGCGTCCCTAAATCCCGTTGATCCATACGCTACGTTGCCCGTAAGATATCGACGAATGGTCTGTGCCACCACTGACTCTGCGCTCCCCGTCTCGGTCAATGCACCGTCGGTAATTTCGAAGTATACGATCTTTACTAGTGTGCCTCCGATGTCTATGCCAAACCAAGGCACCGCTGAACAATCAAGAACCCCGTTTTAATTCCGCACTCAATGTCCGACATAACAGAATTTACTACGTACGTGGCTGGGATAGAGAGTACGATCTTCTGCGTCTGCAAGCATCGAACGTAATTTCCTCATCTGATACGTCTAACGAGTTGCACGCGGTATTGTCTCCGTTCATCAGGCAGTTCCCTGCCTCGCAAAGCATACGTCTGTCTGCACTATTCATCAGATCCACCTAGAATGAAAATTCATTGACAAGCAAACGACAAGGCAGGGTGACTTTCACGACGGAGTACGCGAAAATACATTTCTTTCTAAAAGCGCTTTACGACAGAATCGTGTACATAAGCAGGCGAACCATAAGACAACTTCTACGATTCAGTATCATGAGGGAGATTGCTTCCAGGAAGCAGAAAAAATTGGCAAAAATACATTCGCACAAATGATCATTGATAGTATCAGAAACCCAAAAGTTACATATGGTATTTTTAAACGTATCAGAGTAAATAGTGTTAAACAGATTCTTTCAACGCGGCAATTAATCTCTATTAAAGCTGAATTCTGTCCCATCCCCTGTATAGATAGATTATATATGGAGAAAATAGGCGCAGCCACGGCGACGAGTGCATCAGCATAGGAGACATCAAGAGGAGAAGGTTGCCGTTTTAATGTTGTTGATCTTACTTTGTTGGCTTCTTCTGAAGCCAATGTTGAGCACTCTCTGGAAAGTTTCGCAACCGCATCCTACATTACTCTAACAAAACTCCTAGTGCTTTTCCGATCTCCTGCCCGTTGTGCTCTGCAAATAAACGGAAAACAAGTGGAACAGACGGGGAAGTTTATGAGCCTTCAGGTCATGTGTATCAGGGAGGAAAATGGAATGAGGGAGGAGGAAACCGACCTGCGAACCGGAATGGCCGGCAGCGTCATGTGTGAATGGAATCGACCCGTTGGACTAAGGCAGAACTGAGTCGGAAAATTGCGCTAGCTCTGTTAAAATCAATCTTCACACCGACGTTCAGCTTTGCTGGTCGTGGGTCGTGAATTAAAAACTTCGATCACAAAAAACAAACAGCTGAAATCGGCTTTCTGAGACGAATAGCTGGGCTTACGTGTCCCACCTTGATTCGAAGTACGATTATCCGAGAGAACCTCGGTGTACATCCGCCGCTTCTCGGGTATCGAATGAATCTGCCCCAGACTAGGATCATCTTCTGACTTAGCCCAAAAGCGGGCCGATCGGGGACGTTGGAAGCACAGTCCGACGCGTCTCACTCCTTATCTCAAAAAGATAGGCGGTTATCAAAAACGACGAAGTTACTGATTTTCAAATTCCTACAATTAGACATTAAAATAAGTGAACAGAAAA